TGAAATATAAAATTAATGCATTTTTCAAAGCTAATACAGCAATAACTAAAATGACAAAAAAAATATTATTTAAAAAAAAAGAAATAAATCAAATATGTACATACTTATCCACATGAAAACAAATACACCTTGAATTGAAGGTATCATATAATAGGCGATCTTATTAGAAACAAATGGTATCCAAAACGGAAATGGTACAATCAACCAAACTAGAATATTGAATAAGATGTTCCATCTAAATCTTTGACTACCTGGTTTCATATCACGATGAAGAGTTAAGCCTGTTTCAATGAATGCATTTGGTGATATTGTTGAAATGACAATATCATCATGTTTTGATTTGTTATTAGTTATTGATGTGACACTTGTGTATCGTGGTCTTTGTAATATTTGACTAACAAGTTCCGCTTCTTGTTCCATATCATCAATTTTTTGTTCAGCTTTCGATAAAGATCGTTCACGATAATACTCATCCTTATAATAATCTTGTTGCTCCATTTGTATTTCAACATATTCATTTGGTAATGATGCAATTTTATCGTTACTATCCTCACTAAGAACAGAGCTACCATTATGGGAATATTCATGGATAGGAACGGACTCAAATTCATTGTTAGTTATTCCCATTTTCAAATTATGATTTCACAAATTTTAGTTTGATAGATATAGTTTATCAATAATCTAAAAATCATCAATGAAATAGTAAATCATATTTTCATTAAATAAAAGACATATATCGATAATAAATGAATGTTGTTAGTTACGACACATAGTTTTATTTGTTTATTTTTTAATAATAATTAAATCATCCATCTTTATAACTGCATATGTATTTAATCCGAGTTAACATCTAGTAACTTAAGTTCGCCTTTCGATATGTACAAAAGTGATTTAAAACTTGACATATTATATTACTACATTTACATCATAAGTTAGTAAATGACATGTCATCTTCTATTTTTTACTAATAGAATATCTACAATGTATTGAATCCAGTAAAGTCACTTGGAATATTTTTTATTCGTTTATATTCATCTGAAATCATTCAAATGTGCTCGATAGTATTTAAATTCAATGATAATTAGTTTGAAATACTAAGTTTATTTGTGGTGACAAAAAAGGACCGACTCTTTTGTTTTTACTGACTGTGCTGATTATACTAACTTCAACGATTTCTTACGTTTTAATAAAATTCATACAGTCAAGAGAATCAACTTTTTTTCTCTTTGAAAAACTAAAAGTTTCTTGGTAAAATGTGTACTTCTCACATTTATTTCTAACGAAATATAACATTTGGTAAGAGTAAGACGGATCTCTAATCAATATATATCTTTAAGAAGCAGATTAAATTATGGAAATTTTCAAAACCATATGATATCTACTCTAGTCTTAACTTTCCATCTTTTTCTTACAATTCAAAGACGGATGAATATTGTATTTAATCTATAATCTAACTTTTAAATAAACCATATAACAGTGAACTGATTGAAAATCAACATTGATGAAATGTAGTAACCTCCTAACCTGTTTCGATCAGAAAAAAACATTCTTACCTGAAGCTTGTTGTAAGACGATTTATTTCATATGAGAGTTAGTGTCCCTTATATATCCATGAAATGACATGACCGCAGGCCTCAAGTACATAATATTCTACTTCTCATGTATCAGCTGTTAACATTGACATCAACAAAATAATCATTAATAATATGTCGCACTTAGTAATTTTCATCAATAAACAAATACAATAAACTCGCTGAAAACATACTTATCGTAATAACATCAGTCGACCTCACCTGGACCTCATAGAAAAATAAATAGGCTACTTTTGTTTTTTGTTTATTGACAAAGTTATAGCACCTGGATATCATACAGTTTCAATTGTGTATATCGTACGAAGAAAAGGTTAAATATTTTTTGAGAAACTATAACGTTTATATTCACTGACGTTGGAAAAAAACTTCAAGAATTCTTTAAATATGCTAAATCGATTAAAGTATTTAGTTGAATTCCTTTTGTCGTCATTCATTTCATAAAATATTCAAACAATGAAATGCAAGCGTTGTATATGTTATATATTTAACAATATGCCTGTGATCCAGATTTTTCTTATAGAGAAGTAATATCATCTATCATCAGTTGATTAAAATTTGAAAATCGGTATAATATTTTTCTTTGCAAGCTCTCATCATTTCAAAGACCATGAATATTAGTATTCCTGTATCCAACAACATAATCACATCTGACATATCACACTCAAGTATATTAGGATAATTAGATATCAGTTTTTTTTTATTTTGTGACATATACTATGAATTTTTAAGTTCTAAGAGATCAATTCAAAACTGATATATTCATTAAAAATACCTGTATACTTTCAACATACATTCGGTATTACTCATTTTCAGTTCGATATATCTTAAGTTTATTGAGTAATAGTCTTCTTAAATGTCAAAAATATTTCGACATGCTGAATAATAATCGATGCAAGACTATTTATAATCAGAATGATTGATCATCACTCTTTTTCATGACATTTTTATTTTGCCTCAATATTTGCATCACTTGATCTGATAAAGAACTGATCTAATCGCAAGCAAATTATATCATATTTTTCGTGTCATGATTAATGATTTGAGCAAAACAAATATCGGTTATATTCTTCACTTTTAAGTAATTTTCATAGATAAAAAAATATAATAAACTTCCTAATAAACCATTTTTTGGTATGTATGCACTTCATCAAAAGTCTAATTACCAAAATGCAGATGATGTATCTGTTGATGGTGCGTTCTTTTGTTAATGAAACTTTTGACGATCTAACATCTCGAGTATAACATTATCGATCAAGTGCATATCGTTCGGACTCGCTTAAGAGCATCTACATTTCGATGACCAAACTAATAATGACGTTTGTTAGATGGTGGCTGCTGTTCTCTCGATATATATTGCTATATGAAATGAGTATTTAAAAAGCGATCGAAAAAGATGCTGCCGAAAGAAAGCTAGTCAATAGGAAAAATGTTGGTATAAATCATTCAAAAAAATGCGTCGATCTTTATTTCGACGATCTTTATACCCATAATCTCGATTTTTGCGGTATTGCTTACGTCAATCCATATCTTCGGTGATGAGATACATAATCATAAATTTTAATTTCCTTTTTACAACGAGTAACTGATTCACCAGAATATATTTGCTTAATAATAAATTTAAAAGAGTTACTGATTTCTTCTCTTATATTTTTTTTAATGAAAAAATGGGACATTGAATATTGCCCGAGGCTCTAGTCATGAGTGACAGTATGAAAGAGAGACGAATTGCGCACAGAGGTGAAAAGAACATCAGTTGCGCAGATAGATGAGAGTGATACTAGTTGCGCAAATAGGTGAATGAGTGGGTGAAAATATCGATGAGAATGATAATCGACATGAAGAAGAAAGACTCTCAATCATCCATTTATCATATCCACCTATTAACTTTCTTTGTTCATAGTTAATAGAACAATAAAAGGACTATTAGAGTAACAATGAGAATGACTTGAGTTACTTTTTTTATGGTATAAATAATACTATTATCGTTATTTATGTATATATTAACAATTGACTAACTGTATACTTGACATATATAATTTTCTTTCTTCAGATAGTAAAATAAATTCCATTTATGATAGATATCTTCATGTAAAAGAACTAAAATCGATTGTTACGATGGATTTAGTGTGATGAAATACAAAATATTATTAAAAATACGAGTAACAGAAATAATATGTGAATTTAAACTTGTTGTATATTTGCTTCGTACGTTCTCTTGGTACGGTAAAAAATGGGTGATTGTGTTATTCAGTAGAAAAAAAAACGTACAAAAAATGATTTCTCATATGATTGACAGTTTGTTTTCTCTTTCATTTAAGATCTATTACTAAGCGCATTTACATATTCAATGTGTCGTCTTTATCGAAACAACAACGCATTGTTTTGATTACTGGTACTAACAAAAACATCGATTTTAAAACTGTTAAGAAATCTGCTCAACAATCAGCATTGAATACTGATAATATTAATCTTCTTGGTGGTCGTGACTTACAATGTAGTCGTCATGTATTGAAACAATCAGGTTCACCATCGAATGTGCATCTACTTCAATTAAATACATCTTCTAAGGATAGTATCACTCATGCTATTAATGAAATTAAGCAAAAGTATGGCGGTGAATTGGATGCGATTATCAATAATGCAGATCTTATATGAAAGAATGATAAGATCGAGAGCAAAACTAAATATCAAAGAAATTATCACAGTTTCAATGAAAATATTATGTTAACAATAGTAAATAATATACGTTGGTGAATATTATTTTTACGATAAAATAAAAGAATTCATACATATGAAATTTAAATATGTACATTAGGGGTGCTACTATACTTTTACTTGGTAATTGGTAATAATTTTTATTACTTTTGACTAGTGATTCCATTAGCTTTCATTCTTGCCACTAGTTTAGTTTTGATTTATTTTGTATCAATTTATTGCTAACTACTGTCATTACTTTATAAAATTATTATTTCATTACTGATAAGAAGTAATTTTAAAAAAATATTACCTATTACCTGTAATACAGTAATGAGTAATAACATTATTGGTAATTACTAAAATAATATAATGTAGCATCTCTAATGTACATCATCTTTCATTTGGAGAATAAAATCGAATTCTGCAGACCATATTATTATGAGAATATGTTGTATTAATAGTTAAAATTATGAAAGACTATGTTAAATACAAAAAATTAAAGTTGAACATAGTAATAACTAAGAAAATAAATGATTTTGTAGTATACATTGAAAAGTAAGTCTGTAAGTATTTTTTATTTTTTTTGAATAGATAATATACTGTATTGTACAAAAAACTATTTCAATGTTATTGTGTATGTCAACAATCAAAATGTAACTTATGTTATATATTAATTATTTCATTTTTGCATGTTTTGTTCTTTATAGTGTTTTATTCAAATAAATTAACTTTTTATCATTTTTACATTTGTTTTTATTAAACATATTAAAAGTGATTACACATGTACGTGAATATTCGATTGATTTTGCATGCATATCTAACCTTCAAATAGTATTATACTTTTCATGATGAAAAAATTGAGTGTAAGAGCAATTAAGAAATATCTATAATAACTACACTATAAACATAATTGATTAATAGTTGATATTTACCCAATATGATCGAATCCTGTAAGAATTTTATCACGTTACAATACAATCCAACACATACTGATAATATCTTGATGCATTATATTAAAATTCTCTTGATGAAGTTACTCACTAACTTGGAATTTTTAGAAATCGTGGAAATATTTCATTATTCATATAATTATTTGACTAATAAAATATCTAAATCGACTAACAATACAAAAACTCCAGTATCTTTTTTTGTTGTTTTCTATACATTCTATTAACAGTTGTTTTATATGTGATAACACGTATCTGATTTCTCTCGTATAGACAGCAAATGTTTAACATGTAGTTGAAGTATATCACGTTTACTTATTGCTATGAAAAACTAAAGTTTGTGCTAATCAATCAAAAATATGAATGTACTGTCTTATAAATGATAACAGGACAAATTCGTTTTAATCTGACAAGAAAACTGATATATGAAATAAACAAAACCATTAAATTATCAATCTTAGATAACGCTATTCTAAGGAATGAATGACATTCAATTGAATCTCGTATGTAAATATATATATTTATCAATCTGGTTATAATTCAATTCATAATAAAAAAAAGCTTATTGCACGTCATCAATACCGCCAGAAAAAGAAACGAAAAGAAAAAGAAAGATAGATGTATACATGCATTATCTGTACAACGATAGAGAATATAAGACAAATGAAAGGAATATTATCTGAAGTAAAAGGAAATAAAGTTATATCATTCAGTCACTATCATCCCATCGTGATGATTCATCTTCATTTTCTGATTCGGATTGTGGTCGAATTTTATCACGACGATATTTTGCTGCTTGTTCCATAATTGCCATAACATTAAGAGAACTTGTTTTAGTTGTTACCGATGCTTTTTTCTCTTCTTCTTTTTTACGATTATTTAATTGAATACCTAATCAAAAAGAAAACAATGACATGGTATATACAAAAGAATTTCGTCTATACCTTTTTTAATTTCTTCTAATAAATCAGAATGAAGATCACGACTTATATATGGTCGTTGATCTTGAATCGAAGTTTCTGATGTAACAGAAACATCATCACGTTGAGATGTATTACTATTTGAATTAGTTTTCGTTGTTGATGATGTACTGGTTGTTGTAGATCGCATGACTAGTGATTGTATAGTAGAATTTGGTAATGGTGGTGCTGGTGGAATATTCGATTGTGGCATTGGAGGTGGTGGTGGAGGAGGAGGTGGTGGAGATGGTGATTGTTCAATAAAATCAGCTGGTGGTGGAGGTAAATTATCGATTTCTGAAATAGTTGCAAGTGTTGGTATGCCTGTATTTAATAGTACAGGTGGTGCTGGTGGTGGAAGCGGTGGAGGTGGTGGAGGACTAGATGATGGTCTAGCAATTGTTTGTCTCATTGGAGGATAATGTGTCATATTATGGTGAGGTTCAAATTGTGTTAGTAAAGGTGGTGGTGGCGGTGGTGGAGCTTGTCGAGTTATCATTGGCGAATGAATATTCAGTCGTGGTGATTGTTCATTATTATATCCATTTGACGGTGATTTAGGTGTACCGGCACTACTAAAATTCATTGTCATTGATTGTTGTTCACGACATGATGAAGCTGATGATAATGTTGGACTACCATATTGAACAAGATCTGAATGTTGATAATGATTATTGTTGGGATATTGTAAAAGAAGACGATGACTTGTAGGTGAATAAACTTGTTGTTGTTGTTGAGATCGAATATTAGCACGTGCTACAGATTCATAATCTCCACGATGACGAATAAGATCTTGAGGACTACGATATTGTTGTTCTTCAGATGATTGTCGAATGAGCCGAGATTGAGATGATGATGTCGGATTTGAAGCATAAATAGATTCTTGATGCTGTAATTTTGAACCTTTCTAAAAAAAATAAAAAAAATTGCTTCTTAAGATCAATTCGGTTTTTTTTCTAATAATGGTTGCTTTACTGGTGATCGACATCGTTCATGTTTACCAGATCGATGTGCATGATGTTGATTTTGTGGAAATTGAATCATCGATTGCATCCATAAATTAAAAAAGAATGATGGATCAGTATAAAATTTCATTGAATCTCGACCATCATCTCTATAAATACAAAAGAAATACTTTCTTTTCTTTTTTTCATTGACTTAAAAAAATACTAACCGATAAGGATTAAGTAAATGAAGAGCAGGTGCAGGTTCAGCTTGTTCATAAAGGAAACGAAGTGATTGTGGCATCGTTGCACGATTAACCACTTGTTGATCAATACGAGTTACACTCACAAATGGTTTTCGATTATTTACATCTTGTATAGTCACTAAACAGAAGACGATAAAACTTTTAATTAAAAAAAAACTTTTTTATTTTATTTATAAAAACCTTCTTCTATATTGGAATCTAATTGTGTTACTTGAATTTTAAGTCTTTCAATTCGACCATGTAATGCTTCTGTACGTTGAAATATATGTCCAGCATCGGTTATTAATTCATCAAATAAATCTTGTGCATGTGCACTTAATGAACTTAATTGTCGAATAACATTTGCTAGAGTATGATTAGCAACACATTCAAGTTCATTTGGAATATCCTTTGGTATTTGTACTTGACTTAAATTAATAGGTTCAACTGTCCGTTTATTAAACGGCATGACATTTAATTTAATATAATAATGCTGATGATTATATTATTTGACCGATAAGAAAAAAAAAGCTTTCATTTACGATGTTTATTTGTCTCTACCAATCATATCTTGATTATGATTTGTTCGTTTCTAGCCAATAGATATGTAGAGAAAGAAAAGAAAGAAAGGGTCACAGGTGACGCAGTAGTGAAAATAAATAGAACATCTGCTGGAACGATTGATTTGAAAATCAGCTATTATAGAATCTATTTTTAGATGTTGTCTTGCCAATTAGTATCATGCAACGTTTAGCTGATTATTTTCTCGTTGTTGGTTATGATCATGATGAAGAACGAGGTGGTCGTTCATGTGGCAAAATAATTCAACGTTTTCCAGATAAAGATTGGCCGGATTGTGCATTTAATCCACGTATTATACATTTTTGTCAACCACAAGGATGGATATTAACAGCAAGACATGAATTACCAACATTTTTTATATCAATATTAACTGATTTAGATGGTTTAAGACATTATTGTGCTTGTTTAACATTTCATCAAACACTTCTACCAACATCAACAACAACAACAACAACAACAAATACATTATTTAATAAAAATAATATATGTAGTGATGAAGCCGATGATACCGCATTTTTATTACCAAAAACACAAATGTATGCACCAAAATGTTTATTACTTACATCAAAATTGGATTGTTTCGAAGCATTTCGAGTAAGTTTAATGCAATTAAAAAAAACAATAATTATTATATTTTCGAAAAATAATTTAGAATTGCCTTGGTATTGTTTATACTATGTATGTCGAACCTTCGTCAGATATTCGAATTGAAACAATAATTGGTAATATTCTTGGTAGTGTTAATGTACCACCACCAGGTATGATGGTCTTTTTCTCTATAAAGATTTTGTAATAATTAAGAAAAATAAAAATAGGTGGACATGCTCTTCGCTTTTCAATTGGTGCTGATGATCGACAAGTGATACAACCACCAGCTAGTCCTACCGTACCTTGTACTGGTCTATCTGTATATAATCTATTTAAAGAATTAGGTAAGTTAATTTATATTTTAATATTGATAAAAAAATATTTGTTTTTTTCGTAGGAATTGATCATGTTGTCACAATCTTTTGTGCTGCATTGTCAGATATAAAAATTTTATTCTTTTCGAAAAGCTATTGGAAATTAACTGAAGCTTGTAAAGCTGTGGAATCTCTTTTATTTCCACTTAAATATTGGTAAGAAAAATAAATAAAAGAATATTCAAAATTATCTTTTATTCTTTAGTTATACATTTATACCCGTGCTTCCATTTGATCTAATTGAAGTACTTGATGCACCAACACCTTTTATAATTGGCGTTCATTCAGATCAAAAAATACAAGCTTTATCTAATGTAAATAATTTATTTTTTTCTAAGAGGGACTATATTTCAATATATTTAGTTCGATGGTTTATGGACTGATTTGGATGGTGCAAGTGTACATTTAACTGAAAATGTTAAATTAGCTCCAATGCCTGAAAAACCATATAATCGTATATTATCTTCATTATTTCAAGTAAATTATTTACATTTTAATGTATTAAAATAAATTTTTGTTTTTTTTAAATTAAGATTCTTAAACCTGATATTCATGCAGCAGATTTAGCTTTTCCATTAAATGGACGAATGAATTTAAAGACTGATAGTGGAAGTCAAATTGTAGCTGATTATCCGAAATATAAAGATGAATCAAATAAAGATAAACAAATTCGTGCTATTTTTATTCGTCTTTTTTCGGAATTATTTGCTGGTTATCGTTCGTGTTTATTAATTATTCGTATTAATCCTAAGCCAGTTATTTCATTTCATAAAGTAATGATCTCTTTTAAACAGAAAAATATATTTTCGTATTTTTTTTAAAAAGGCAAGTTTTCTCGGTCATCATCGATTAGTTAATGATGAATTTATGTTACGTGTTCTTGATTCAATGTCATTTCATAAATTTATTGAAGAACGTGGTCCACCATTTCGATCATACGATATATTTGATGATGTATATGCATGTATTTATGATCAATTAAAACGTGAAAATGATCCTATATTAATGAATTATTCAACATCAGTTTTTGAACATATTAAAGAATTAGCAAATCAACTATTATTAAATGTAAAAAAAAATTTGTCTTGGTTTTTTATATAAAAATATATTTTATTGATCTTTTTTTCAGGAAAATCCATCACCACAACAACAATATACACAAAAAGTACCACAACCAACACAAACGAGTTGTACAAGAGATAGTGTACCAGAATTTCCACATTTGGATAAAGATTTAGTTAATGCAGCCATTAAAGAAGGACTTAAAAAACAACAAAATAGCAGGTAGAATTAGATTGTATAATAATTCTCGTTATTTCTCTTTTTTTTATTAGGCCTTATTCAGCACGAGTGAGTCAACCATGTATTGTTAAGTTAGGAACAGCAATACATGTACTTAATGGACGAACTGATATTTCACAATCAGCAAGACGTTTAGAAGTGTTAAAACAATGTCTTGGTTATATATTTAGTGATAAAATATCTGAAGCTAAAAAAGTTTGTTTATTATTTTATTTCAATAAATATTTATTTATTTATTTATTAATAGACAAGTGGTGCTGTATTTTATTCAATAAAAAGTCATGAAGATGCTCGAATTGCTCTATGTAATGAATTAGCTTCATATAAAAAACAGAATAAACCGAAATTAAATAATCAACAATTTGAAATGATTGCTAATTTACTTAATTGTGCTCTTGAAGTAGGATTTTATTATATGTATGTATATCTATAGACTCGATTTTTTGTTTTCTTAGGCAAGTTCATCAATTGATGAACATGGAATTGCTTATATGGTGCTTACTTTAGCAACAACATTTCATCGAGTATGTATCACGTATGATTCGAATGAGGGAAAGCTATGGAATTTTCTCAGCATACACATTCTATTTTTCTATGTGCAAATATGTCTCTTACAATTAGTTAATAAATTTCATTCCTTAGGGGAATTAAATTAATTGTGGCTAGACTTAGCTAATGCTCGTTAAATCAAAAACATAATCACAGAGAACTGATTTATATATTATTTTTTGTAGAAATTAAGTGAAGAAGCAACACAATTTATTTATACGGATATACAACGTCATGCTGTTTGGGCTAATATGCAATTTTGGGAAATGTCATTTTATTCTGATGTTCAACTTCAAATACGAAATTTATATTTATCTCATGAAGATTACAATCAAAATAATAATAATAATGATAATTCAGCAGTTACTGATTCATTATCAACTTCATCAGCAGATACTGTTACACATCAAGGATCTGTAAGAAAAGATGATGTTTACATAGATTTTGTCTAGTTTCGATTTACTAATAATTGACGTCACTAATAGATTACTCTTCGCTATGTACAAATGTTTTCCTAATTACAATTATGTTAACACAGTAATTCCATTCGAGATTCTATTGATATTCATTAATAACAATAGTTGTATGAATATATTAAAACTACGTTCTAGAAAAAATACTTCACGGAGTTTTTCTATAAAATATCAATTTTCCTTTTGTTGATATTGTGGTATAGGGGCAAATGAGCGAAAGGGAATTCGGCGAAATGATTTTTCTTGATGAAGGTATGGACGAAAAGTGTGGGTGAGAGCGAAAAGTATTTCGTAGTTGTGATTTTCGCGCATTTTTTTTCGCTGAAAAACCCCTTTGCTGATATGATTTTCGTTCAACGGACAACATACCATTTTTAAAAAAGAAAAATTCTACAAAGTATTCCTACATTGCAAGAAATACGAAATTTTCTATGTGCTAATGAAAAACTCCTTCTTTCTGTTTTGAAGACAATAACACATGATTTATGTGCGGACCATCCTTCTCATCAAAATGGAACAACAGTGCATGAAAAAACAGCATTAGAAATAGCGGCAGAACAAATGCGTCTTTATACACAAAAAACATCGGAAGAACAACGTTCAATTGAAGATCTTGAAGAACAAACTATATATGCATTAGCTATTCATTATATTCAATTAATGGTTTATATGAAACTTCCATTAGATATATCATCGTCATCAAATATTCGACATTCAATTTATAATCATATATCACATAATACAGGTGGTGATGCCGATAGTGTAACAAGTGATTTTTATCATAGTTCAAATGATCCATTCAAGTTTGTTTCTTTTTAAATTTTATTATTATTGAAATTATTTTTTTTATTTTTAGTGTCAGAGATGCTGATGAAACATCAACAGTTGGTTCACATGACAGTGGCAATGGATTTGATTTAAATAGTGATGATCAAGTAACTGATCTTGTTCTTAGTTTTGTTCGAAAATTTGTCGATAAAATATGTGATGAAAGTGGAGTTAATACAACACATAAAAACAGTCTTCATACAAAACTTTATCGTATGTTTACGGGATTTAAGATTTGTTTTTAAAATAATGATTCTTTTCTTTCTAGAAACTGTTCAAATTCAAATTGAAGTTCTTGAAAAAGTCTATCGTGAAACAAGACGAGTTGCACCAATGCCAAAACCATTATTACCACGTTTTGTTACTATACCGGAATTATTTGAACATGAAGAATCTATTGCACTTCGTTCATATCTATTACCAGATGGACGAGATGAATTTTTTATTGGACAAAATAGTTTATTACCTGCTGAAGGAGCATTAATCATGACAAATTATCGATTAATTTTTAAAGGTCGCCCAGTTAATCCTGCAAGTATGTTTTATGAAATTTTTCTAATCAGAGAATTATTTAAGAAATTTTTTTTTAGTTGCAAATGATTATTTAATCGTTCGTTCGTTTCCAATTTCATCATTAATTCGTGAAAAGAAACTTTCTGGTCAATTTCGACTTGATAATTCAAATATTTGTCTTCATAATGGTATACAATTACGATCAGCAACTTTTCAAGTTTGTCTTTTGAAAATAAAAACAAAATTTCATTTAAAAACCTTTTTTTTAGTTAATCAAAGTCTTTTTTGATGATGAAGTTCTTGTTGATGATATTGAAAAATTTCGTACAAAACTTGTTGAAAAACGTTATCCAGAATCTGTTTTTCAAACATTTTGTTTTTCAATATACAGTGATTATAATCCTGTTATTAATAAACAAAAAGATGGAACACTCAAGTATGATGTTTTTTTCTAACCTTTAATTATTATAATTGATTTTTCTCTTTAGAAAATATGGTCGATATGCACGAAATGTTTTACGTAAAAAAGGTCTTATACCACCAAAAGATTTAACAACACATCAAAATATGTCATTAAAAACGAATGGTTCAAATAATACAGGTGGTTTAAAAACATTAAATGGTTCAACACGACATCAACAAAATCTTTTAATTCGTACACCTGAACCAGCACGACGTAGTTTAACATTAGCAAATACACGTTCACCGAAATCGTTAAATATACATAATAATGATCGAACATTAGCTGGACTTTCAACAATAACAACACCATCAACAATACATGAATGCGATGAAGGGATTGTGGGAAATAATAGCGATGATGAAGATGAAGATAGATTATCAAGTAAGAAATTTATTACTAATATTTGAATTCAAAATTCTCGTGTTTTTCAGCTGCAATTGATGATATGAATAGTTATGCAACCATATCAAATGAAACGAAGAGTCTTGAACGTTTTACAGATAGTTTTGTTTATAAGGATTTTGTACGACAAGGTCTTATTGTAACAACATTTCCCTCATCACGTTCAACAATACGTACGACAGCTGTTACATCAACTGTGTCATTACCATTATCATCAAATATAAATGAGAATAATTTAAATGGCAATGGACAACAATTAAATAATTCAACGAATGGAAATAATAATAATGGAATGAATATGACAATAGCCGGAGGAACGAATACAGTATCAATGATTAATACATTATTATCGACGAATGATGATGTTTTTCGCATCTCACATATTAATCGAAATTTTGGTTTTTGTAGAAGGTAATATAGAATGATTTATTTATTTAAAGATTATCGCGTGTAGTGATTCTGAGGGGGAATAGAATATAATCAGCTTACAACTCAGACTAAATGAGTAGAAGATTAGGTCTAATGTAGTAGAATTTATTAATATATTTCTTAAGATTTGAACTCATCAATTTAGATCAGAAATGAAATTGATCTTATCATATTCGATTAATAACTGTAAGCTATAGTAGATTTTACTGGAAAGTATTAAACTAAAATTGTGAACAATACTAATCATGTATATTAACAGATATATTTTGCAATAGAGACTGAAATTATTAAGTTTTGTAATACTTTCTCACCATTTTCTAAGATCTTATCTAAAGTAGGAAGATACGATGCTTCTCTTATTTATTATTAGTAAAACTATATATATGTTTTTTTTATTTGTAGTTATCCATTAGTACTTGTGTTACCTAAAGATATTCTCGATGAAAGTCTAAAGAAAGTCGCACGATGTCATAAACTTCAACGGTAAGTTAATAAAGTTTTGATAATAAATTTATTCAATGAAATTTTCATTCAGAGTACCTGTTATTGTTTGGCGTAATCCACGTACAAAATCACTTTTATTACGTGGTTCTGCTTTTTGTAATAAAGGTTTTATTAATTTACTTGTCAAAGGTCCACAAACAAATACAAGTAATTCAAGCGATTTTTTTGTTTTTCGAAAATCTTATTTTTCTTTCTTCAGGTTCATCAAGCGATACGAATGCAAGTATCGAACAAGAACGTTATTTTGATGCTATTGTTAAATTAACACCAACAAAAATGCCTTTTTCGGCTGATCTTGGTGATGTTGATGAACCAGAATCAATTGATATAACACCATTATCTGTTAGAAAAACACCACATCATTCAGCAACGAATCGTTTACAAAATTTTCTACCAACACGTGTTTTATATGATCGTCCACGTACAAGTAAGTTTAAGAATTTATTTTCTTCATTTTTCAGTTAATATTTTATTATAAATATTTGATCTGTATCTATGTATGTATTCATCTATAGAAAAATTATTAACTAGTGGAAATGAAACTTCGTCCACTATTCGATTAATAAATAAAACTCGTATTTCTTCACTATTCAAAAGTTCGAGTAGTGCAACATTGACAGATAATATGCGATTGTCAATGGGTAAACATATAAAACAAAAACTAATGACCATTTATTACCTAATCCTATTTATATTTTTATTACCTATTTCGCGCATCCGCTTTATTTTTTCATTATCCTTTTTATTGAATACATTAGCTTATTGCTTTGAGTGATATTTTTTAATCGAATTAATTCTTTAAAAAATAATATTTCGAATTTTATTTATAGCAAGTGTTAATATACATTCAAATCTGGATACGTTACCAAGAAGTGATACAGCAAGTTATACATCAATGAATTCACCAACACCATCAACAATAACAGCAGGTGCAGGAGGCGGCGGTGGTGGTGCTGGTGGTGGTGGCGGCGCTAATGGATCATCAAATTTTGATATTGATTTTAATGAATCAATTTTACAAGTTCATAAACGTTCACCACTTTATATTATTGGGGATCGAGCTCAACATCGCGTAAGTGAAGTCATTTATATAGATAAGAGGAGATCTATTTTTAATTTATGTTTTAGACTGGTCGTCTTGAACAATTTCAAAATTATTGTTTTCTTCCATTGGAATTTCATGATGTTAGTCAAATAAAAGCAAGCTTTAAAAAAATGACACGTGCATGTGTCCCTAGTATGTCAGCACAGATATCAAATAGTCATGCAAATAGTAATGGAACTGATATACCATCAGTTACATTACCAAATTCAATGTCATTTTATAAACTTATTGAAGAATCACGATGGCTTTATCAAGTAGAGTTAATCTTTATCGTTTTCTTTTCTTTTATTAACTTTTTAATTCTTTTTAGTTACAAAAAATCTTAATGATTAGTGTATATATCGTTCAATTTAGTGAAGATCATGCATCATCAGTAATGATTTGTGTTGAAGATGGTTGGGATACAGCTTCTCAACTTGTATCAATAAGTGAATTATTACTTGATCCATATTATCGAACATTTGAAGGTTTTCAAGCATTAATTGAACGTGAATGGTTTGCATTTGGTCATCGATTTTCACATCGATCAAATCAAACAGCTACAAACAAAACAGGTTTCGCACCTGTTTTCCTACAATTTCTTGATCTTGTTCATCAAGTAAATATTTGACAAAACAAAATTTCTTAGAAAATAATCCTTTTTAATTTCTTAGATTTGCAATCAATTCCCAACTGAATTTGAATTTAATGAATATTATCTTCGTTTTCTTGCATATCATCATTTATCAAATCGTTTTAAAAATTTTATGCTTGATTGTGATTGTGAACGTAAAAAAGATCGAAATTGGTATGTTGATACAACACGTGATCCACTGACCGATGATATTAGTGGTAAGTTTATATTATGCAATATACTGATTGCTACATGCGTTTTCTTTGTAGGTTTATATCGGTGTAATACAATCAATATTTGGGATTATATAACAAAAATAAATCGAGAATGCGCAAGATTTTATAATTTTCTTTATTCACCATCGACGGATAGTTGTGTTCTTCGTCCATCATATAAAATGTATTCACTTGATATATGGGATTTTTATTTAAGTGAAACATTAGAAACAGGTTGTCCATATGATCTTGATATAGCATTAGCTGAACATGATGAACATTTAAATGATGCAGAATTACGACAACGTAGTAAATGTATATCAGCTGTTTATGATGATATTAGTATTTGTTTACCGGATTTTTTCAATGAAATTGTTTCGGTAAGAATATTTTTATAGAAAAAATAAATTGAATGAATGTGGGTTTTTTTCTTGTTCTAGGAAATGTCAAATACATTATTACATACAAATGGAGATTCATGGAAGACTTATTGGGATAAAATTGAAAAACCTGAACGAGAAAAAGTTCAAGTAAAAACGAAAAAAAAAGATTTTATGACAGTTTATTCAATATAATCAATTATTTTTGTAGCGTCTATCAATTCAAGATGAAGCATATAAACGAATAAATTCACAACAAAATTATCTTCAACCTCAACGATCACTTTCATCAAGTATTTCATCATCACGTACATCATCAATGTATGGTTTACATACATATGAACCAGCACAATTTTCAACACCACAAATATGTGATACTTGTGATGGATTAATTGATTCAAAAAAATCACCCATGGGTTAGTATATAATATAATATTTATTTTGCAAAAAAAAACTATACAAATTATTTTTAAAATAGAAGGAATACGAGCACTTCAGTGTCGTGATTGTTCAAATATTTGTCATGAAAAATGTCGATCAGTAGCATCATGTAAACCATGTAGACGTGTTGGTGTTAGTGGTTCATCAGAATCTCAAATTGTTGTTAATTCAAGTCGTTTCGAAACAGGCAGTGTAACAGGTATATTTGACACATTTTTTTTCATTTATTTTTTCTCTTATTATTATTATTATTATAACATACATCATTTCCAGATATTACAGATGTTCTATTGGAGAGAGCTGGTAATATTTTATTATACTTTCAATGCTCCTTTAGAATGCATAAATTTATATATTAACTAACTCTATACAACTTGTAATTGAATATAATAGCCATAAAGAACTAAAATATATTCATTAAAGGTCTTAAGCTATGATTCGCTTGAAAATATATAATCCTCCTATTCACACCAATGAATGCTATTCAAGAATCTTATGTACCTCTGGCATAGTATACTCGATAACTATAATACAGTTAATCATGTTAGATAGATAATGCTTAATAAATCAGATTAAAAATTAAGTTACACCAAATAATCTTGGCTTAACTTCAGCTCGCATGTGTATATATTTAGTTTTTTTCATGGCTATTATAATCTAATAAGCAATAGATTCTAATTCTAAATGTAGATTTAATTATATATTTCTTGAGAATTGAATAATAATTAGATATGTATATCTATACTTTTAGGTGTATATGATCATCATGGTTTATCACATCCGTTTACATCATCGAGTGCTGCTGGAAATAATTCAGGTCCACAACATCGGACTCATGAAGGTTATTTAAGAAAACGAGGTCATTTATTAAAACAATGGAAAGAACGATGGTTTGTACTTGATTCTGTCCGACATGAGGTAATCATCATTTTCTTGGTTTTGATATTATTTAAATCGTTTCTTTTTTTCTTCTTCTCTCTAGCTTCGTTATTATGATAGTAGTGATGATCAAACAGCAAAAGGTGTTATTCTTTTAGCTGATGCAGTAGAAATTCTTCCATATACTGGTCCATTTCCTAATGCATTACGACGATTTGATAGTCGAGCTGCTTTCGAGGTAAAATAGATAATATAGAAAATATTATTTTACTATGAATATTCGTTTTTGTATTTAGTTACATACAAATCGTCGTATTTATAATTTTATTGCTGCTACAGCTCAAGATGCTCAGACATGGACAGAAAAAATCAAATCTTGTCTTCTTGATTCTTAGAAAAACAAATAAAAACGAATCTCATTAGTATTATCGTCATTTTTTGTGTGCAATATTCTCTTTTTTTTCGCGCTTTGCATGAAATGAAAATTTCATATCTATTTTTTTCTCTCTCCCTCTCTCTCACTTGTCATTATGTATTTGTTAGCTTAGAGTTATCATCATTTTAATTGTCAAAGAAAGAAAAACGATGGAAGAGCAATTTCTGTATATACATATATACTTTCGTGTGTGTGTGTGCCTGCGTGTGTTTGTGTGTGTGATTTTTTTGTTCTTTCGAAAGAATGTCATTATTTATAACTGTGTGTATGTGTGTGTTGAGTGAAAAAAAACTAAAGAAAATATTTCAGCTGCTTATGAACAAATACGAAGTTTATTTAATTATGGCAAAATACTCGTTTACATACGAAATTTATACAATGAAAATAATAAAGAATAGCTTAAAGTTTTCGAGATAAATAGATCTATTCCAGGGACGTCCGCAGAAGGGGGAATGGGGGATCAACCAGCTCTTAAAACAAATTAAAATAGCTGGAGGGTGGTACAGGGCGAAGAATTTTCACAAATTTGAAATAACCTTTTTCGCTAAAGAACATTCCTGCAAAGTTGTCAATCCCCCCCGCCCCCCGAAAAAAATTTCTGCGGACGTGCTTGCATGGAATGGTATTTCAGCTGCGAGGATGATCATGCATAGCAGGTGCATGAACATGGTGGTGAGGACAGTGTTGAATAACTGAAGATTGTTATGTCGTTACCATGGACGAAGTGACTCGTTTTGTGAATACTCGCACAACTCACAAGTTCCATAGAAAAGTCATTTTTTTGCTAAAATTCAATTTGCAATAAAAAAGACCATAGACTATGTTTGACTATAGAAATAAAATAATATAAGTGTTTTGTGTTTAAATAGCATTATCTTGACAATTTTTACGAATATAATATATGCGACAATAAAACAATTTCCAACTTTTGAATCTTCAACAACATCAAAAATGAGAGCAGAACGAAAAAAATTCTTTGCGGATTGTTCTTATCTTCATCAAGTACGTCGCAAAAATCTTTTTTCGCGGATTCTTTTAGTGACTAACAATTGCAAAAATACTTGACTATTTCTTTTTCGTTCTCTGCTTATCACTAAGGATAGAAAAACAAATCTAGATAAGAGATAGAGACACAATAAAATGAGCAACTTTTATAATTTTTTCATTTACAAACTTTTTCAAGCTACTCAAATACAACACATTCATATTACAAATAATCATAGTCAATGGCAGCTAGCAAATCAAGTGACGCAAAAAAAGTTCATCCAGCATCTGGGATCTCCACAAAAGCAGCTGCAGATCGACGAATGAACATGCAGAGAATGCAAAATGTCCTCCTTATTTGGTTGGACAACAATATCAATGAAAATAATGCTGATTGTAATAATACAATCAAACAATTAAAACGTGTAGTTAACAACATAAACACGTTTACAGATAGTGAGCAGTGTATTGAATTTATTCGAACAATTAACAACAACAAAGTATGTATGGTTGTTTCTGGTTCACTTGGAAAACATATTGTGCCTCATGTGCATGATATGTCTCAAGTAGACACCATTTTTATTTTTTGTAACAATCAACAATGGCATAAACAATGGGCCAAAGAATGGCCTAAAATAAAAGGAGTCTTCACAGACATAACATCAATCTGTGAAGCACTTAAACAAGCTTCTCTCCAATGTGAACAAAATGCCACATCAATCAGCTTTGTAGCATCAAACAAGAAACTGGATCAATTAGATCCGTCCTTTATGTATACTCAGATCTTGAAAGAGATCTTATTAACCATCAACTTCGAAGTCAAACATTTCAGAGAATTTATTACTTATTGTCGTGAAGTATATGCAGATGATGAAAATGAATCAAAAAATGTTAATCAACTACAAACAACATACAAAAACAACATACCCATATGGTGGTATACATGGGATGCATTTTTATATCGTATGCTCAATCAAGCATTAAGATTAATGGATGTTGATATGATTATTCGAATGGGTTTCTTTATTAGTGATCTTCATCGTGATATTCAACGACTCCATTCTGAACAATTCGGTGGCCATCAATCAGGTACAACATTTACAGTTTATCGCGGACAAGGGCTTCCGAAAGAAGATTTCACTGAAATGACAAAAACTAAAGGTGGACTTCTTTCATTTAATAACTTTTTATCAACTAGTAAAAATCGTAGTGTTTCTCTCGGTTTCGCCCAACAAGCTGCTACGAATGCTGATCTTGTTGGAATACTATTTGTTATGTCCATTAATCCTACTCATTCAACTACTCCATTTGCTTCTATTACAGATGTTAGTTATTTTCATACAGAAGATGAAGTTCTCTTTTCTATGCATACTATTTTTCGTATTGGAGATATTAAACCAATGGATGGGAATAATGATCTCTATGAAGTGAATTTAATATTGACTAATGACAACGACCAAGATCTTCGTACTCTTACTGATCGTATCAGGCAAGAGACCTTTCCAGATTCGACAGGATGGTACAGATTAGGTGAATTGCTAAAGAAAATGGGTCAGTCTAACAAGGCTCAAGAAATTTATGAAGTTTTACTTCATCAAACAACGGATGAAAGTGTAAAGGCACCTATTTATAATCAACTAGGTCAGATCAAAGATAGTCAAGGAGAATATCCAGAAGCATTTACATATTATGAAAAATCACTTGCTATCTATGAAAAAACACTTCCTTCCAATCATCCTGATTTGGGTGCTTCCTATAACAACATCGGTTTGGTGTATTACAATATGGGTGATTATCCAAAAGCACTTTCTTATCACGAAAAAGCCCTTACAATTCAACAACAATCACTTCCTTCTAATCATGCTACTTTGGGTGCTTCCTATAACAACATCGGTTTGGTATATTACAACATGGGTGATTATCCAAAAGCACTTTCATCGCATGAAAAAGCCCTTGCAATCAAACAACAATCACTTCCTTCCAATCATTCTAGTTTGGGCGATTCCTATAACAACATCGGTATGGTGTATGATAGCATGCATGATTATCCAAAATCACTTTCTTATTATGAAGAAGCCCTTTCAATTCGACAAAAGTCACTTCCTTCCAATCACCCTGATTTGGGTGATTCCTATAATAACATAGGTATGTTGTATGAAGATATGGGCAACTATTCAAAAGCTCATTCATTTTATGAACGTGCTGTACAAATTGGACAACAATCATTACCAACAAATGATCCTAGACTTCAAAACTGGAGAATAAATCTCGAACTCATAAAAAACAAATTATAATTTCTTTCTATAATCTTTTGAAAGTAAAATAAAACTGATGAAAAAGAAAATGTGTCTCTACTGAAACCCTGCTCTTGTTGAGAACACAGTATTAGCAGTAACACTAATCGGTAGGGTAAACAATACATATTGAAAAGATATATGTTTTAGAAAAGACCTTCACGGTTACATTATTATGTCTGAACTAGTAAAGTTTCGTCGTATTAGATAAGAAAGAAAGATACTAAACAGAAACATAGAAGGAAAGAAAAAGTTTATTTTATCAGTAGAATGAATTAGTCTTTCTGTTCCAATATTATAGAATAGTTCATACCATTGATAAACTCATTCATATTAAGTTTATGATATGATTTGTTATCGTTTGTTTAAACTAGATGCAGAGATTGCTAGATATTGAAGGAAAAAGAGAGTATTCATATGTCAGATGAGAGGTGAATAAAGGTTAAAGACAACTGGTTTTTGTTCTATTGATAATTGAAGTAAATATTTGTTATAAGTTTGTTACAAGAAAGATACGAATATATGATATTATAGAAGTATAAAATAGATGTTCAATTTACGCTTGCATTGTCTTATTTATAATTTTCTGGAGTAAATATTTATAGAATGGAAAAATACAAGCATCTTATTTTGCATAACTTAAGACAACATTGAGAGTACACATTAATATTATGTCTAGTACTGATAACATTTGTAGTTCTACATTCTGTAATTTGTTCTATACAATAATTGACAGTTTCAATAGTACAATAACACACAGTATTGTATTAGTCAATATACACATAAAGAAATTTTCAGTTGTCTCATCCTTTCGAATGCAATGTTCTCATCCGAATCAATAATGCAAAAATAACAAAGAATTGCTTTGATATATGAAATTGTTATCGAATAACAACAAATCACCGGGAGAATAATCAGAAAGTATCTATGTATATTTCATTTACCAATGGATAGTAAAAATCATTGTGCCAGATGGTACATCTAATTGATTCACTTGAATTATCTTCTTTTTACTTCTAGATTAATCATTATTTCAAGCAATATGTATACAGTCATCTTAGTCTTTCTCTGAAGTAATAATCTGACATGTTCTATTTTTAAGATATTTAGGAATGTATTTATCTTTAACATGAATACAAATATCGGTTTTAATTTTCAAAATAACATTCAAATGATAAATCCTTATACAATTATTTATTTTTTTTCAATTGATGAAAACCAGCTCTATTCAAAGATATATTTGAATAAAATCATGCTTTGCAATATATACATCATGTTTCAGTAGTATTAATAGTAAGAATAAATTTCCTTCGTACAGATCTTAATGTAAATATTTAGATCAAGATTTCGTTAATATCAATAGATATTCTTTAACTTTAAATAACAAAAATGTTTCGATAATACAAATTTGACTTTATGCTACTATACTCGTGAATATTGAGAATTTTATGAAAATCTTTAAGTCATTATTTGGCAAACGAGTCTCGACTTGTGTGCCATCTAGTTCTGTTTCCGTAATTCTACATAATAGATTATCTTGTTTAATTTGCTACGAATAATATAAAGCGTATAGATTTAATTTTCTTGACAGTTTAATTTATAACCATACAAAAAGGACACGTTTTATTTCATATATATATATACATTGTTTACTTGAACATTTATGAATTTAAAAAATTGCTCTCTAAATTATAGATAATATGATTAACTTCAGTGAAAGAAAACATAGATAGTAATTAAAAGTTAAAGTTAATTTTATTCATATTTTTACATAATAAAAGAAGGTATCCTATTATGTATATCTTATAGAGAAAAATCAAGCAACAAAAAGAAACGCAAGAGAAATTGAACGAAATAGATCATGTACAAATAAGACTAGTTCATATGATACGAAAAAAGAAGAACGATTATTTCGATTACAATTCCCTAGATATGTCTCGAGCAATGTGCTTTTTCTCCTTCTTTTCTAACGATATTCATACACATGAACATAGTCAGTAATATCTTTTTCAATTCTATGTTCAACACGTTTATCTTTTCTTCGTAACTATATTCTATTAATGTTACGATATAATTTCATTGTACTTCAATTTATTGCACTTATTTTAGCGATTATTGCAATTTCGACTTGGTAAGTTTTATATTTGTTTTTGAATTATTTATATTTTATATTGAATAGTTCCTGGGAAGAAGTAACATTAAAAGATTATGATGCTATTCAAACTATTTATCATTCTCCATTATTAACAACTCTAACCACTAATGATAATTTCAAAATTGATCCTCAAAATGCAACTGGTTATGTTTTGAAAATAAATTCCGGATTATTGGATATTTGTACACATCTTTATTATAAAAATCAACTTTCATTTGAACCTATTCAATGTAAACAAACAATTGCTCGACCTTCTATTGGTAATAACTAAGATAATTCTTGTATAATGATAAAAAAACAAATATTTTCTTTAGGTCTTTCAATACTTGGTGTGATATTTCTTGTGATTGGAACTGTTTGTACTGGTAAAATTGATATTGATATTGTACTTCTGTTTAGTAAATAATTTATTGTATAGGTTTTGCTGATGAAGACAAATGTCATGATCGGTATATGCGTTGGTTATTATATTGTTCAGCAATATCTGTGGCATTAGGTGGTCTTCTTCTTTTTACATCTCATTGGACATATTCAATTAGTTTGGAATTACAATTACCAACAGCCTATGTTCGATATGGATATTCTACTTATTTAATTATTATATCAGCTGTAATGAGTTTACTTTCAATGAGTCTTGTTCTTTGGAGAATTGTAAGTATACAAAATATTTTTTCCAGATAATATATATCATGAAAAAAGACATGATTTATTTATATTCAGTATCTTCTCAGGGTTTATTACAATCCTCCAGCCAAAATGAATTATGCTAAACGACGTGTATCGAAAAAATCAAATCGTCGCCTATGAATGTTTAATTATATTTTCTGATATTTGTTTTTACATATTTATTGATTACCATTTTTTAATATTCATTATATTGGCTATATCATATTTTGTATTTTTTTTCTCGATTTGTGAAATAAACTAGAGTATGCAATACGTATCATATATTTCTATTTGAATCATACTCACGTTCTCTGCTTGTTGACTTCTTAAGCGATAGCGGAAGCATAAAAATTAGAGAATTCTTTTGTCAAATATCATAAATTTGATTCGATTTTATTTATACAATTTCTAATAGCAGGTTAGCAAGTATTTCTCCATTTATTGAAAAAACATTACTAATACCATAGAGTAATAAAATAGGACAAAATATATGATTGTTTTTGTTTTATAAAAGTAATCCGTAATAATCGTACACTGAGTATTTTGAAGTACAATGTCATAGTTTATTTTCATTACTTTCCAAAACAAAAAACTTTGATTATGGTTTTACTGTTTGATTCATTTTTAATTGACTGTAAGAAAAAGGATTAAAAATATCAACGATAAATATTTTTGAAATAAATTGGATATTTGATATTGCAATTATTATAGATTTACAAGTCTTTAGCCATTGGTATATTAGGCATGTTTGAATTATTAATTCTAGCTTTCGTACAGACTTATTTTCTCTTCCAATATTCTTGAGAAACATGCCATTGAAGTTAATTGTTTTTACAATAATTGTCTTGTTGGAATCTTCTAATGCTGCACCAACAACTGAAGAATGTTCAACAAAACCATCCGTTTGTGCATCTAATGGTTTTTGCTTCAAAAATTCGGATAATTCTTCTGCTTGTCAAAAATCATGTCCAAATGGTTGGAAATGTAACAATGGAGGTGAGTTTATTTAATAAAGAACACATTTTCAATAATTGCGACTTTTTTATTAGATATTGTATGTAGTATTCCAGTTGAAAAAATGATAAAAGAAGTTGCTCAAATAAAACAGAATGATGTTGTTTATGGTTTTGCACTCAATCAGCTTTGTATTGCTAGACTTGGTTGCCAACATAAACAATCATTGGATAATCCATCATGGTTTGATAATATTCTCAATGCATTTATTGAACCTTATGTTCAAAAGAATGGAAATTGGAGTGATGTTATTAAACAATGTCATGCTCAATATTCATATATTCCTATATTAGGAAAATATTTATGTCAAGAGAAAATGGCTGAATATCATATAACTTTTGATTTAAAAAATGCCGTAAATAAAAATGGTTGCGGAACACAACGTGATTGGGATACAATTGGTAATTTTCTTGTTGATTGTATTAAAGAAGCACATATTGGTATTCCTTTTGGTGAAAGTTACGCAATATCTGAAGTTTTTCGAAATCGTAATAATGTTCGCGAAACTTGTATGAAAACAAGACAAGAAAATGGACTTCAAATGGTATTTTAAAATATTTTTTTTGTTAATATTTAAATCTGATATCGATGAAATAAAATAAAAATGATGACAGATTTTAATTATTAATCATTGATATATGTATTTATTTAAAAATAATTAAATTACAACAAAAAAAGCATTTTATTGTTATTAAGAAACGCAAAGTAAATAGAGTTTAAATAATTAGTGACGATAGTTCAATTGGCATTTTGTTTAACAGCCGAAAGACCTCCAGATAATTGATATACTTCAGTTTTTGATAATTCTCGAGAGTAAATTTTTAATTCATCAATCTTTCCTTGAAATTGAGATTGAATAATTCCGGTGTCGTCACTAGTGCATTTATCCCATTGAGCAGGATTTCCCATAGTAATAGTACTCATTGCACCACTAGCTGCATAATTATTATAAATAATATTACTACTCTGTAGATTTCCGGATACATATAGTCGAATCCCATTTGTAGTAGAATAAGTCATACTAATGTGAGTCCATTGATTCAATGATAATGTTGATGCAGTATATGAAGCTGTATAAATACTATTTACACCTAACGTTTGAACTGTTAAATACCCTTTCTGATTAAAACCAATCATTGGCGTACACCAACCATTTGAAGAACTAACCTAAATTATTAATATATGGTGAGACATATTTTTTATTTAATAAGTCTTACTTGAAGAATGGTACCACCAATCGCGATAGGATAAATCCATAATGAGAATGAATAGAAATAATTGGATTGACCAAGATAATAGAAACCTGTTGTCTGAAAATATGAATAAGATGATGAAGCAAAAAATAATGCCTGATTAAATTGACCATTAGAATCAAATTTTGTCGCAGTACTATTGATGTTGCTAATATTATTAGGACCCGAATCATTAAATGTATTATCAAATGTATAATAAGCAACAAGAGTAGCTTCATCGAGAATTTCACTACTATTCTTCACACGTGATACAAATATTAATTCATCTATCAGACCATCGTTAGTAGGTTTCCAACTAACAAGTGGTACTGCACCAAGAGTTGTTTGATTTGGATTGCCTGTGTAAGGACTCTTAGCTATTCGACTTCCATCAAGTGTCCCATTTAAATAAATAAGTTGTTGAGAGGTAGATCGATCATATACAAAAGCGACATGATACCATTGTCCAGAATTTAGCTGCGTATTACTAACTGCATCATCATAATAGAAATTTAAATAAAGAAGACCAGCTCTCATCACTAGATGCAAACATTTATCAATATCCGGTGTCTCGCAATGAGAGAATAAGGTGAAATAACTAGAATCTTCTGTAGCAGCATTCGAATAAGAATCTTCTGTATCAGCATTCGAAGGAGGCCAAATCCAAGCTGAAATCGTGAAACTAGTTGTGTTTAAGTAAAGATAATGATCTACGATACTGTATACGGTAGAACCAAAATTGACAGCACTACCATAACCAGCATATCCGGGTGATGACCATAAATCAGTGTAATTATCGACTAATTGACCTTTCGTGTTAGTTAAATAGCCATTGTAACGACCGTATACATCATTAAGATCACCGTCAAATAACCATTTAATAATGTCTGGTGGATTTGGTGAATCTATTGAAAATAAAAAATATTTAGAATTTATATCTTTTCTTAATTATATTTAAGGAAAACTTATTATTACAAAATATCTTGTTTTTATTGTATTTTATCTAATATATTCAGTTAATTTTCAGTGAATCATAATTAACAACATACGAATGAATTAATTCTCAGGTTTTTACTTACTACTAACGATCGTTCTGTTTGTAAAAACGAACACATTTGCAGACATATTGCTAATATATTGTAAATATCCTTGTGAAATATTTGCAGAAAAGAGAATACAAGTTCCATTAATACCATAATAAGTACCTACAATACACGTTGAGTTATTTGAGCATTGACACATACACAAGTTTAATGTTGTTATCGAATAAATATTAGCTAATAGATAGCTATTACTTGATGGATTAAACCAGGCATTATTATAAATAGTTACAGGTACCGATTGTACATGTATAATAGACAAAAAGAGTATAGTACTAATTTTGAACACCATTTTCTAACTGTAAACGTTTGTTGTTTCTTGAAAAATGTTTTTTTTTACTACCTCAACCTGTTTTTATTATTATAGGAAATGCGTAGGATATTTTTTTCTCTTTTAAAACTAAATATTATGAGACAATAATTTTAAAAGAAATTAAAAAAAGTGCTAAACAAATGAAAATGATTAATAGAAGAGCACTTTACTGAATTAACATCGTCTTTTTCAAAATTACATTTATTTTTTTTCTGCTTATTGAACACCTGTTTGTATATATATTAATAAATGTGTTGACAAAAAGATATATAGAAAAAAAAAACACATAGATTTTCATTATATTCTACTGTAAATAATTTCAATTGATCGTAGTCTTGTAAACCGGAAAATTGAACATCATAAATCTATGTCCTGGAAAAAATAAATCATTGAAATAAAAAAATGTTAATAGTTTCATAAATTACTGCTAAAAATAAATATCTTATATCAGAGTTTTTCTTTGTATATAAATATAGATGTTTATGACAGTAAAAAATTAGCATATAAGAGTAATCTTTTTCTGGTTTAAAAGGTATAAATACGTATATGCAAATTTTATATGCATCTTCGTCGTTTTTATTTTATTGCGTTAATAACATATGCAAGAATCTAATATAATTTCTTCTTTCTCAGTTTATGTCGTCATTATGCGTAGATGAAATTACGACTACAGAAATAAATAGTAATATTCCACCAACACTACTATTTTTACAAAGTTATAAAAGCCGGTTGTACAATAATAGTTATATATGAAAGATGTATTACATGTAAGCTTCATTCCCTTTGTATAAATATCTTTATAACAGCATAGTTATTTCACAAATATTAATTCAATTCGTTATCTTTTAGCAATTTTGTCATTGCCATTATTCTTGTTCTTCTGGCGTCTTTTGAAATAGACGCTGGATATGTTCGTTGTTCTAATGATTATCTTCCCGGTGGAATAGGTGGCAGTGTCAAGATTCCTACTGCAAGAATCTCTATCGATAATACACTTTGTAATCTTGCCTCGTTGAACTGTGGTACTATGAGTTACAAGGATCGCACCTATTTGAAAGGACCAGGAAAATGCGACGGTGCTGTTTTTT